GTATTACACAATAACATTACATCATAAATAACATAACATTTACAGATAACTCTTAATTGGTTAGTATGTAGGGTTTAAATATATGCATCTATTGTTAATGAGGAACTAATTAATTATATAGAACAATTTAAGAATCAAGAACACAACATATAAGTTAAATAATGGCAACATTTAAAAGAAACATATTTTTATTAGAAGATATGTAGGATCAACACAGTGTTTTTAACATGGGTGTTGATATATCCCATTTTAACGTGATATGTACAGTATTAAACGCTAGCTCTGTACATACTTACAGTATGTGAGAACATTTGTGACTTGCTCATATATGGTCGTATCACATCCATATATGGACAATTCACAGGTTGTAGGCCAGACAACATCAAGGATATATCCCATGTTATTAAAGTTAACAGGATTAATACATTAACTGTAGTTTAAATATAGCCATATTATATAACAATTTTTTGCTAAAACCTAAGACTCTAATAGGAAAGATGTTTAATGGTGGGGAAAAATATGTTCTAAGAATCTGGCTCTTATGATGAAATTACAGTATAAACTCACCTGATAGGATTAACTTGAATTAATAATAATAGTAATAATAATAATAGTAACAATAATAATAACAATAATAATAACAATAATAATAATAATAATAATAATAGTAATAATAATAATATTAATAATAATAATATTAATAATAATAACAATAATAATAATAATAATAATAATAGTAATAATAATAATGATAATAATAATAATAAATATATTATTAATCATACTTAATTTGATATTAGTATTTTGATTTCATTTACTATCACTTTACTTACAATATTATACTACACTAAAAATATGAGGCTTTAACCCTAAACACTGGGATGCTGTTCATACAATTCACAGGTTTTAAGTTAGATGATATTTTGTTAAAGGAGGAGGTGGGAGGGGAAGAGTTTCCAGAGTTAAAATGTTCCCTAATATATCATTTATTCCTAGCATCTTTGAAGTAATTATTTGGAAAATCTGACAAAAAAATTGCAAATATAAATATAGAAATACGGAAACACAATATCATATTTTTCTTTTAATTTCAAATGCTAGTCCAACTCTTAATTTATAAAAAAAATTAGCAATTTTGGTCAAACAAAATTCCTACAAATAAAAAAAACATATATTTTCTATTACAGTTGTTAAACACTAACTTTTCAATAATAAGTATCCATATTTTCCAACACTGTGTAATTTTACAAAATAGCATCACTATTGATAATCACTGGACCCAATTTTTAATGCTTGTTTTCCCTTTTGAATCTGAATATATACTGGCAGAGGGCCCCATTGGGGTATATGTGTCAGTGTGCGTCATATACCCCTGCAACCTATTAGGTATTACATATTTATCCATGATTGTACCCTAACTAAGCTAAAAAGTTGTGAAAATCTTTACAATATGGTCGTACGTAATTCATCGTGTTAAATATTTTTTAATAGAGATTTTAACTCTGGAACTCCTGCCATTTTTAAGTCTATTTGTCCCTCTATATATTTGTATACTAGAAATTGTATCTATCCTGAAAAAAGAAGATATTATGGAAGAAGCAACAAAAGCTGCAACATAGAAAAGCACTACAAGCTTTAAGGATATATCAAGGATGATTAGCGGATTCAGTATACAAGTCGAGTGGTGGCGCTATTATCTACAAGAGCCGTGAATTCACATAGAGAACAGACTTACTTTTCTGGACATTTCTTATAAACGCCATCATATTGTCCACAATTGGCGTAATCAACTCCTTTCTTATTATTTTCAAAGCATTGGTATATACCAGAAGTTGCCTCTGTACAATATACAAATGATAATCAACTATAAACATTCACTTAAAATCATGAATACATCCCTTCCTGACCCTGACCACGCAAGTTCCCAATGACTCCATACCAAACTTACTTGTGTTTGCATTTAAAGTATGTTTCGTCGTCGCCGTTTTTCTCGGATCCACAGTTGCCGTAGAATGTGCCTTGTATATTATATTCGTAACAACTATCAATACCTTGTTTGGATACTGTAAGGTAGTCAGGCATTTGTTGTTATTAACACAAATAGTAAACAGTAACATATAAATTTGTTGTATTCCCATACATAATGAAATATTCAGCAATATATTAAGCTTCTATCCCTCTGTTAGTACATTACAAATATTTGTTATTATCTTATCTTTTCATATTATCTTTTCTTTTTAAATTTTAAATAATAAATGATTGTTTATTTATTACATATTAAACACAAAAATTCACAACTGAGAAAATGGCTAGAGGGGTGCCAAGAGGACATCTTGTGCTGAGACACAAGATGTCCAACACAAGATGTGGGTATTGTCTAAACCCCTTGATCAAATAAACATACAATAAATTACAAATCTGCACAGAGGCTAAGACGATACACTATACAGATTGAAACAGCCTATATTGTACTGCTTATAGCACACCACACAGATAATTCTGAAAGCAACTATTGTTTTGCTGACAGAGTCTTAACATTTTAATTGAGTTTATTGGAACATACTTATATTATTAGTTCTTTAATGTCCAAAAATATAAAAATAGGGTGATTACTAAAGACAAGGTGCATACCTGAACCCCACAGGGTTTTACACATGTTGTCATAGGTGATACACTGTCCATCGTAACATGTCGCCTCTGCACGATTCATGCACGTCTCTCCATTTTGTATATAGACATTTGCAGGACACTGGAAATACATGAAGTTGATAATACAAGCGAGTTAAGCATTTGCTTATTAAATTGCTTTCTACAACAGGCAAGCAATAGTTAAGATTTTTATTTATCTACCAGGAGTATTTTGACTATCTATTAACATCCATCAACAAAAGAGGCCTTCATTTAAAAGACAGCCGGACAGCTCTCTTGCTAAGCCTTTGGTGAAAATTGGACAATTTTTTTCTTATGTTTATTGAACTAAAAATGTTTTCCATCATAAATAAATGAAGCATTAATATCAATATCAAATATCAAATATCTTTATTGGCAACCACAGTATACAATGATTGACTTATACAATAAAATGGTCAAAAATTTATAAAACACTAAAAATAGTTTACAGGATCAATCAACAAATTTATATTTATTTACATAGAAAAGGATTTCATTATTTATAAAAATATGCAAATTTACAAAAGCAATTTAATCACATTCAAAACACAAACAAAACACATTTTACATCACAAATACATAGAAAAGGATTTCATTATTTATAAAAATATGCAAATTTACAAAAGCAATTTAATCACATTCAAAACACAAACAAAACACATTTTACATCACGAAAAAAACCCCCAAAAAAATTAAATCATTATCGCTGAGAAGTATCAAGTACTGGTAGTGAAGAAGAGAGCATTAATTTGAAATGAATATTGTAAAATGTGTGCAACAGCAGACTCACTTCATGTGAATGTCCTGTACAATACTCTGGGAGGTCACATTCATTCACCATTCCTCGACATTCTTCTCCTGCAGGTTTTAAGTGACAATTTTCGCAGCATTCACCTACTGCACACGTGGCATTCTCATGTAGCATGCAAGTCTGCGCCACACAGCAGTCATTATCACAATGCTGGCAATAAATTAAACACAACACACAAATTTAGACTTATTGAAGTGGTATATATTCTAATGAAATGCTTAGTAGATAAGGCGACAATATTTGTGCATAATAATTGGAAAATATACATAAAATCATAACGTTTATAATGATGATTAGTTGTTGATGATATAAATAATAGGTCTGTAAACAATATTTAGTTTAATAACTTTGTTAGTCTTATTTTCTTTATTTCAAAGAAACATTACATGATGACACATAATGAGTTATGTTTATGTTACAATAAAACCAGGTAAATATAGAGAATGAACCCATGAACATTAACAAGAAGTGGGCACCACAACCAATTTACCACAACTGTTTATAACATTTCACAGCATACCTCAACTGCGCCACAATCACATTGTTCCCCTTTCTCCACATAACCATTTCCGCAAATTGGACCATCATAGATAATTACTGGATAGTTGAACAGACAAGAAGCTAGGCCCTTCTCCAGGGCAGTTTTAAGGTGTTCCTTAGTACATTCTGACCAAACAGTTGGTGGGGTTGACCTAAAACATAAGCATTTAGACTTCTCAATCAACAGTATAGAGAATTATGCGATATGAAATCGACAGATAGATTTTGCTAGAGTTATCCTTGTTTGCAATGACTAAAAACTATTTTATAATTGAAAGATTATTAAAAACAATCATCTGGAATGAACGTCAAATATGGTATATTGTATAAAGTCCAAAACCTCCCAAAAGAGAAATAAGATTTTATTTGAATATAATTGATGATTATTACACTATTCTTCTTCTCCTTGAAGAAGAACTGAGAACTATATATGCTATCACCATAATCTTTACAATATTCTTTTTGTGCAAATTTTACAGTTTCTCTTTGCATAAACATATCCCAGTGGCACTGCATGCATGCTAATCAAAGCTAGGTATACTTTCAGGAGAGCATATAGAAAATTCAAACGTACTTGTAAGATGCATGCTGCGATTTCATTCGATATAATTACCTAGCATCCAATGTTTATCTCAATTAATTTACAAATTTGCACATGCTAAGGAAGTTTAGAAACACCGAGAAAAAAAGAGATACTGAACATGAAAACAAGAAGCATTTTAATAGTGTATGCATATGTGCCCAGTTCTATATAATTCGTAAAGTGATACTTCTACATAAATAGACAATTCTACATTACAATTTTGAACATGAATATTTAGATGTTATGAAGTGTACTAAAGATGTACAAAGTAAAGTTGTAGTTTGTAAAAGGTCTATGCCTTCCACTTCAATGAGTGGATTTGCCTTCCAATCCCTGGGTCCTGGGTTACAATTCCTGTCAAGGTAAAAGGAATTTTTCTTCACAACCAAAACAACTCCACTCCCTAAGCCTCTATAAGAGAGTTAGTCTATGTGGAGCATTTTGTTCGTTGTGAAGGGATATGCCACTTTGAATAGTGACTAAGTTCCTTGGTCTTCGGCCTAAAACCAGTTTATAAAATAGAAATTAAAAATCACAAGATTCTGAATTCAGAATTCACATTTTAATACATAATGAATAATTACAGGAAAGCAACAAATAATTAACAACATATTCATCATATTAATATGTACAAAGTACAAACAATGAATGCACATACACATTTATAATAAACAATACAATAACAGTAAAATAACAGGAAAATATATAATCTGTAATAATTTAAATACATTAATAATAATGTAAACTATTAAAACACTGAAGAAGCCTGGAACCATCTTAATAATGATATCATATTAGTTCCAATTATAAAACAATAAAAAATATGAAAACAATAGAAACATTCTCCATCTGATGAACAAAATTATGTAATTTAATAGGATAATTGGGAGGTCATAAATTATATGGTACATGATAGAACATAATGAAGAAGTTTCTGTGAATGTCGGAGAAAGTATTCAAAATTAATGAGCAGAAAAATGAAGGAACAACAGGACTATTGAAGGATAAAAAGATAAACATCATATTAATGTAGAGAATTTTATCTGGTCCTATTTTATCATTTGGGGTGGGGGAGAAGGATGGGGTGAAAATGGTTTCCTAAGATTTGCTACATATTCTTAGCAGCTTAGATGATGCAGCCAGCTGACCAATAGGAAGGGAGAAAACCCTTACTGGAGGCGGGCTGTGGTATGTTAACAAAAACAAAATCATATGAAACTCATAAACTAAACAATATTAAATGTATTTTAAAATTATAAAAACAAACAAAACAATGAAACCTTTAATTAAATGCTTAGTAAACTACAACTACATTAGAAATGTTAATTACAAAGTAGTAGTTCTACACAAAACACAAACAGAAGCTAATGAGTAGCATTATTATGACTAAATGTTAGTGCAATCCAAACTGCTATGTTCTTCAGTGTGACAAATGGGAAATTTTTGTGTAAATTGGCTAAAGTCTAATAACATAAACACTAATATTAGTCATTCAGTGCTATGATAGCTGTGAGATGAAACTACAAGCACCTCTGTATATACTATATATCTAAAAATGATACAGAATTTAATTATTTATTTAGAGTTATTATTATTATAGCATATCTTTCCTATGATCCTAACTTATTTATTAAAATTCTTAAGGGCTAAAATTTAAACTCCATTCTGCCTGACCTATCAAAAATTAGTAACTTTCCATATTTACACTTAAGAGCGGTGAGGAATCCATCCATCATCCATTAATCAAAACAATGGCATAATTTCCAATTCTTAGTATTTGGCTTATTAAACATATTAAATTAAAATAAAACCCAAAGACACTGACTAAAATGTTGGTATTATGAATGAAATGCAAGCTATTCTTGTTTTTATAATATTCATCAATCTAAACTATTTATAAAATCATCTAGCGATCCTGGTTATTAAAACAAAATCATTTTCTAATTTATATTTCATCTGTTTTAATAAAACTTTGAAAGGATTCACCAAGCATGACAAATGCATATCAGGCACTTGTAGGATATTATGAAGGATTTAATTCATTAAGCATGTCAAATAAATTTCAGGCAGATTCACCAGGGAAATCTTGGACATAACTTTGCGCTATAAGAAATGAAATTTCATACAAATATGCATGGGTAGGCAAAAGAATTAAGGGGAGGAAAAGTAAGAAATAAAAGGCTAGTATGAAACACACACACCGTAAGCGATCAGAGAGACGTTAATTTTAGTATTAGTACATTAGCATGTTATTAATGCCAAAAGAGAAAATTATGTAAAGCAGGCACGTTAGTCAGCCCTTACCCCGCTGAGGGCTCCATAATACACCCAGCGGTAGAGTTGCATTTGCATGTGGTAGTATCGTGATAAAACCCCAGGTTGTGCCCCATCTCATGGGACATGGTTGACGCTACCCCTGCCGGGGATGTTGCGTGATCCTGCAAATGAATAATTATATCTGTTAAGTTATATAGGAAGTGTTAACGTTTCTTTTGCCAAACAACTATGGTAGATGGTACTTCCTGATAAAATTGAATTAAAGATGGTAACGCAAACAACAGTTCAATTTCAACTACAACATTGATTTTTAAATCGAAAATTAGAGTTAATGATGCAGAATGAGAATCAGCTGAAACATGGTTTTAGGCCACGCTAAAAAAAAAAATTAGTTTATCACCAAAACAAGAAACTTGTATATTTTTATACTTGGCCATACATATAAGTGTTGAGTTACCAGCTCCAGTCAACAACTCATATCTGATCCAGCCAAAATATAAAGAAAATTTATTTGGAATACTTTTGACTTAACAGACTTGAGAATGTGAGTTAAAAATGACATTGTGTAAACCATCTGGCAATTTTATTTGTAGTACAATCCAACATAGTTTTTTTCAGCAGCATAATTAAAATAATGAAAATCCCCTTACGATGCCACCGGTCCCATGATGCAGCCCACACCTTCCCGCGTCTCTGAGCAAACACAAGTATCTTCATCGTGATAAAAGCCCAGGTTATGTCCCATCTCGTGGCACATGGTCGCAGCCACGCCTGCAGCTTCCGGGGAATGGTCCTAGTTGAAAAGTGGTCATGACGACGTTGATGAGGAAAGCCACAGGTGTACGATTCAAATATGTGTTCATCATATATGTGAATTAATATACAAAGCCAAAGGCTTTCCTTTTCAAATAATATAATTATATACATAATTTATAATACTGTATGGTTCAATAAATAAAATATAAAAATATATAACATGTAAGAAATGATGATGACAATGAAGTTATTGTTGTTGATAATGATGATGGTGATAATGATTACAATAATGGTAATGATGATGAAACTGACGATGATGATGATGATGATGATAATGATGAAACTGATGATGATGATGATGATGATGATAATGATGATTATGTTGACAATGATGATAATGATTATACCAATGATAATGATGATACTGATAACAAACAACAATGATGATACTGATATGAAGATGACGATCAAGATGACAATGATGGTGATGATGATTATGAATAATAATGTTACAGTATTTGATCAACAACAATAATAATGATGATGATTTAGTGGTGAAGTGGTGATGATGCTGACTACATCAGAGGCCACATTACCTCATTTACACCTGCTGATTTCTCAATGGAGCACATTCCACCAAGAGACGCCATTCCAACTGTACTACCCTCAAAGTCATTACCCCTGATAAATGTAGAAAAATATATAAATAATAATATTAATTAACGATACAATGATAAATATATATTAATGAATTTGTTGGTTCTTCTGCAATAGTCTGTTGTTATGCAGTTTACAAGTCACCAGCCATTACCCTTCCCATTAACAACCAAGGAAAAAGTGACAATTATTATATTAGTAATGATAATAATAATAGTAATAATAACTAATGAGTTAATAATAATGTTTAATAACTATACTGAAAATTTCTTTAGGATTTGCATGGCAAATAAATAATAAAATGTAATGTCTATAAGTTATAAGTGCTAACTGTATACAGTCAATCACAGTTACAATAGATCAGTACCAATTTCACTTCTGATCTTTTGTGTATAAAATATTATCACACTTGTAATAATATCAGTAATAAATAATAATGGTCGATTTATAGCGCGCATATTGTTGAGACCTCTATGCGCTTAACATTATTACCCCTGGTCATTGGATCAAGCACTTTTGGAACACATACTCAGGTCTGTGGGAAAAATTCCATAATGTTGCAGCTGCAATCAGTGCATTATGTGTTTGAACCTACCAGTTACCAACTTGTACTCCTTTGTGGAGAGAGACAACCATAAGTGCCTTGCCCAAGGACACAAGCGAAATTGCAGAATGAACCTCCGACCTCAAGGTTGGGAAGAAGAACTGCAACTGGTGCACTAAACCTTTGTGATCTTTATTTTTATTGTATTTCTTTTAATTAATGAAATAAATGTACATGAAATAATGACAGCAATACTAATGATATAATTTTATGAGTACGGTATGTTATTGTATGTGGTTCTGACGAACTAATTTTTGTCCAAATTTAAATTAATTCCATATTCATTAAAAGATAAATTGAATAATTGCCTACGTCATAAACTGCGCATTGTCGTGCTTTATAATTGACAAAAGATCATCCTTTCTCCACTTCTGAAATAATGACATCGTCTTGCCAGCATCCGAATCAAAAACTATCTTATCTTTTAAATTCCATACAACAACACTAGCGAGGGCGACACGTACATTAAGAGGTTTGTAAGTCTGCAAAATCAATTTACAATGTGTAAGTGTAACAGTACTGTGTTATTTGTGGGTTTCTAGAGTAAACCATAAAAGAAGTCAAAAGGACAAAGATCTATCAATTAAACAGCTGTGATCCTACGACAACCATGGATTAAACATTCAAATGTAACAATTATACCTAGAACATGCATGATCAATAAATCATAAAATTATCATATTTTTGCTCCCAAAAGATTATTTATTTCAAATTCAACTGAAACCTAATTATAATAGTACTATTTTTATGAGTGCTGTATCTGATACAATTATATAGATTGTAATGCATTGCAAATATATATTTAAAACAAAAATAATACATATTAAATACTGTATATTGTAGGCTCTGGATGTCATAATACTTTCAGTGGTGCCGGATTGGATTGGACATGGAGGTATACTTGGATCATATTGGTGTGAGATACATCAAGGATAATAAAAGTCTGAAAACATAATTCCAGTGGGGTCCTTCTGGTGGTGAGACAAGCCCCTACTCTTCTCCAAACAGTGTACTGCATTGTTTGCACATGGGCCATATTGTATATATGGGACTAATGGCTTGAATGTCTCAATTTTATGAGGTTCTTTAATTCCATTTTTATGCAAATATTTAAACGAGCATAGCTTTCACCATCATCATCATTTATATTATATTATTATAACAAAATAATTTTTCTTAAAATATAAAATCTCAGTAGACCTTGAGAAAATGGTGTATACAGCACACAGGAAGTAGATGCTCTGAAGAAGCAGCGAAACAGTTAGATTGAAAACCTTGTAATTAACTTACCATATCCATAATATTTGCAACTTGTTTGCATCGCTCCTCTGTGTTTTTCACACTTCCGTCACGAAGAAGGAACTGCAGGAAAAAAGCCAGACACTTTAGATTCCTGATAACTTAATCCTCATTCCCTTATAAGGAATCAATCAATCCATTTCCCATGAAGTAAAATGAAATTTCTTTTTTATGGTATATTATTATTAATAATAACAACATAGGAATTTACACTGCGCCATTTGAATAGAGATATAGAGCGCTGGTGATTTCTTATTACCCCGGCATCTAGATCCATATTGAGAAACCGGCACAAAGTGCAACTTTTTTTATTCCCTGGGGAGTACTGTATTCCTAGTGGTGCTGTAATATGCACAGACTAAAATATTCAATGCCCCATCATTCTACCAGGTACCCACTTATAATCCTGGGTGGAGAGAGACAAATGTAGATAAAGTGCCTTGCCCAAGGCCACCAGTAAAACTGGGAAGGTTCAAGCAGGGAAGGTTCAAGCCCTCAACCCAAGTTGAGAGATCAAAAAACAACTGCCAGGCCAACTGCTTGCAATTATATTATTCAGGGTTGATGTGAAAGTCTTAATACAAGGGGTACCATTAGGCCAAGCACTTGCAGGCAGCGTGAAATGATAGCGAAAGTTAAAAACTGATGGGAACACTAAAGGCTTCAACATTTATTTGCAGATGTCACCAGCTTGTGGAATAAAGGAAGAAAACGTGGAGTGAAAAGAATTTAATTTTATCTTATTCTACTTATTTCCAGACAGCCAATAAAAATACAATAAATCAAAAAACAATACAATAGCCCCAAGAGTAACCTAAAAGTGAATTTAAGATTTCAAGCAACTTACCTCAGCATTATCAGCAACAATAACGAGTTCAATGTACTTTGTTTCTGTAAATACATCTCGTTTCTGGCGTGGAAGGGCAAGCAAGTTTTCAAGATCTTCTTGGTCATCAGGACGTTTATAAATCTTGGAATCATCTGAATAAGAATAAATATTTTATTTATATATACTGTACTGTGAGAAATTTTAAATAAATAAATAAATATATATTGAACAGGCTGTTAACAATTGAAATAAAACATAACACACAAGCACACATGTTTATATATACCTCACACAATTACTGTATATACATTTAGCATTTAATCGAAATATTGTTATTTAACAAAAAATTTATTTAATTGGATTCATAACACATCTTATTGTACTTTTGTGCATGAAATCATATCCACGGCTAGATGTGTTTAAAGAGGAAACTAATAGTACAGTAGTAAAAACATGAAAACAAGAAAATATTTTTCAATTTGCCAGAAATATGGTAGTTTGTGAGATACTATACTTTGGCAACTTGGGAGAGATCTGGGAGGCCTGAATATAAATCTCAAATTAATTTAACACAGATTATGGCTCTGTACTTAACTCATTTCCTCTCAATTTGTTCTTATAAAAGTGGGTGTTGGTCACATCTAAATATATAAATAAGTGTTAAATAAGTGTTAAATACTAAAATAAGTGCTTTCCCAAAGGTTAGTTTCACTGAGTCCGCAATAAAAAAAAAAGACGCATAAGTAATCTGCACTGATAAATCTATTGATTGTGTAAGTATGTACATAAATACAGCCAAAATATTATCTTATAAGAATTTAAACAATGTATTTTTTTTTTTTTTTTTTTTT